ATATAATGGGCAGGTTTAACTGTCACAAGATCTGGAGCCATAATGTTGTAAGTATATGATAAGCTTTATGGCATTGATAGATACACTACCATTTTTGCTCTCGAATAATACATTGTCTTACATTCAGTACTGCAGAAGTTGTCGTGGGCAGCAGTGAGAGGTAGATTAGCCAGGAGCACATTTTTTTTTTTGCATTGATAACTTTTTTATTTACTTTTAGTAGAGAACAAATAGTAAGAAGTAATAACAAATAATCACAGCCCTTGTGTCCTGTAATTGTTTTACAAAAAAACTACAGTAAGCATGTGTTATTGGAGGAAGGCTGCTGTCTACGTTATATAGAGAATCGCATTACAACTGTACAGACCAACAAACAAGAGAAATGAGAGATTAACTCATGCATTATGAACTAAAGTGAGTCTTTTGAACATCCCTTGCACACTGTTACTCTGACATTTCTCTTTCCAATTGAGCCATACATGTCCATAGGTGGCCACAAGAAGGAAAGAAAATAAGAAACAAGCTCTCAAGATGTGTATATTTATGTGTTTCTGCTGCCTCCTAGGCACTGGCCTCTAAGTGCCATTATGGAAAATAAAGCACTGGATGCAGACCACTAATGAAATCCGGCAAGCAGATGGAACTTTGTCCCAGTAAAGCTTAAAAGAATCAATATTTAAGGTAGTCATTTTTCAGTGCGATAGTTTGGCTAACAATTACTAGGTCATGCAAAACTGTATCAAAATGAATTTTATGCCATGTTTTCAGACTGATAGAAATTTCTTTTGGTGGTATTTAATAACTACTAAGTTTTTAATTTTTTATTTTATAAAGGAAAAAAGACAAAACATTTTGAACAAAAAAGTCTTCCTTGCTTCTCGTTAGTTATAAGGCATATAAAAAAATATTGTTTTCTTCACAAATTTAGCATTAAATAAAATGTGTACTGCTACATTTCTTTGGTAAAAAAGTGCATATTATTTAGTCTGCATGAAAGTGATAAAACCTACAAACCATGATATGTACTGCATATTTAAAGTGTATGTATTTCTTTGAGTCACAAAATGCTGGGACAGTACAAACACCCCCAAAATTACTCTTTTTAGAAAGCAGATTTTGAAGATCTAATTTTTTGCCACATTTTTTCAGAAAGTAAATGAAATTTGATTTTTACAAAATCAAATATATAAAAATATTTCTCACACAGCATGGGCTAGCAGTCAGAGGCAGATGTCTTTTAGATTTCACACTGCAGATATACAACTATTAGGCTGTAGGCACAGAACTGCCTAGGCACTCATACACTGCTATTTTTCAGGAGAAATTCTAAACAAAAGCTAGATCTTTCAGGGTACTGCTAAGGCACAGTTTTCTAGATGTTCCCTTTTACATAGCAAATTCAACATCTTTTTGAGCTGATCCATTGTAACACCTAAAGAACACAAAATTAGTTAACGTATCAAAGATATTGTTATCTCCAGTATTTTGAGATAAATCCCTTTACTGAATTTCATTGTATATCTTAAAATATTTGCTAGTTTCCAAGGAACTATGAAAAAATAATGGGTCCTGTGGGATGGTTGTGGAGAGCAGCTTCTAATTTTAAGGGTTTATCAAATGCATATAAATTAACTAGGTTGTCCAACAGAGAGAAACATTAGTGCGATCAAAGCCATTTTGCTAAGGATACTTGGGAGCCATTGTGGACAGACTGAACATACAGTGGTAATGAAGAATATTAGCTGCTGAGGCATCTGAGGGTTGTAGGGAAAAAAAGGTAAAGTAGAGATAGTAAATCACATTTGTGCCTGCAGATTCTTTTTGATTTGAAATCGATAACCTTACAGCCCTTCTGTTAATTGTAAAATCCAAAGCAAAAAGGAACAAAGCAAATTCAGTTAACAGTATACCAAATAGATTGTACAAGAGTAAAATGCAAAATACAGAGGTTGGAATAAATAACAGAAACTGCACACGAAAAGAAGTTTTAAGTAAATAATGTTTACCAACTCACATGCAAAAGATTTATTGACAATAAGCAGTATGCTCCAGCTATGAAACAGATGTGTCAATTCAAAATTCTATATGTGAGTTTTGGAAGCAAGATGAGGCAACTTAAATAGTTCCAAAGAGTCCAAATTTCTTCTGTTATCACACATGCAAAATTACCAAACATTAAAATTACAATATATGGCCAAAGTGTATGGACATCTGACCATCACAGCTACAGTTGTGCTCAAAAGTTTGCACACCCTGGCGTAAATCGTAAACATTTATATGGAAAATAAAAATATTGAAAAAAAAAATTATTTTATTTAAGGATAGTGGTCATATGAAGTAATTTATTATCAACAGTTATTTGCCTTCTTTTTAAATCATAGTGGTAACAGGAGATCACCCAAATAGCCCTGATCCAAAGTTTACATACCCGAGAATGTTTGGCCTTGGTATAGACACATAAGGTGACACACACACGGGTTTATAATGGAAAGTAAAGTTTATTTTTCCACATACGTGGCTTTTAAAATTGCAATTAGTGTCTGTGTATAAATAGTCAGTGAGTTTGTTGACTCTCACATGGATGCACTGAACAGGCTAGATACTGAGCCATGGGGAGCAGAAAAAAATTGTCAAAAGACCTGCTTCACAAGGTAATACAACTTTATAAAGATGGAAAATAATATAAAAAGTTATCCAAAGCCTTGAATATGCCAGTCATTACTGTTTAATCACTTATTAAGTGGAACATTTGCCAAAGTCAGGTAGACGAAGAAAGATTGCAGCCACAACTGCCAGAAGAATTACTACATTGGATACAGAGATAAACCCACAGGTAACCTGTTTCAAGGGGCAAAATATGACAATACTGCATGGTCGAGTTGCCAGAAAGAAGCCTTTACTGAGCCAATTGTATATTTACGACATTGTATATTTGCTATGTCAAGGAAAAAAATAGCAGCATATGCAAAAAACATAAAAACAGCATCAACAAAGGTGTAATCTCAGATAGTTGGGATAGTTAGACTCTTTTGAATGAGACAAACTATAGATACCTGAGCATGTGCTAAGTGGTGTCTCCTAGTCATGTGTTGGCCAGTTTCCAACATCTAGACAGGTTTACATTCAAAAGAAGCCAATCAATGGGGTTAATTTACTAAAACAAATCAGCTTCCAGTTTGTTCTCAAAGCTTAATTGAACAAGGTGAAGTTAGAAGCTGATTGGCTACCATGTACAGCTGCACCAGATTTTGCACTCTCCAGTTATAGTACATCAATCCCAATGCCTTAAACCCCCAATGTCTGTTGGCTGTTAACCTCCCTGGCGGTATTCCCGAGTGTAGCTCGGGGTAACATTTCAGTACCAAAAGCGGTAACCCCGAGCTACACTCGGGCTTACCCTGAGGCACTGCTCCGGCAAGTGTTCTTCACTTACCTTACCCTGCGCTCCCACGATGTGTCCCCTGCAGCGTCCCTGGCCATCTCCTCCGGCCGATGCCGGCATCCGGCTTCTGTGTCCTGTCCCTGTGACGTCGGGACGTACGGGCGCCGCAGCCGCCGGCGGCGGGAAATTTAAAAATTTTAAAAAATGTCATTTTTTTTTTTTTACATTTTACCTAGTAAAACATTGCTGTCTCAACCAATTTCACATACATTTTGTCCCGAGTGCTTTGTCCTGTGCCCTGCCTGCATTTTGTCTGTTCTTTCTGCCTGGAAACTGAGAAATGTCCATGGCGTCCAAAAAGTGTCCCTTTAGGTCAAAAGCGGTTTAGATCAGCTAGAGAACAGCGATAGTAAATCAGAACCACTTGCAGAATTGAGTGATAATGATTCGTGGGGGAAATTCGTCATCAGACACTGAAAACGATTTTGCGACTGAGCTCAGCAATGTGCGAACTTGGCGCTCTATTTCACATTTCAGTGTTTTTGGTTTGATTATATTATTGAATTAAATTTTTTATTATTTTTATATTATTTTTATGATTATTTATTAAATTATAATTTATGATTTTGTGTTTCAAATTTTATCATACCCGGGATGTTTAATAGACTCTTGTTCGGACAGATTTCAGTGAGTTTTTCCTAAAAATTACAGCCTACAATAAAAAAAATACATATTTCCATGCAAAAAAATGGTACCGCTTTCAGCACCAAAAATCTGAAATAATCATACCGCCAGGGAGGTTAAATAACCATATAAAAGGGATAAACCACAAATGTATTAACATAAAAAATAGCTTGTGTAGATTTGCAAGCTGAGGTCCAAACTGGTACCTATAACAAACAAAAGTGGTTCTGTTTATCCACTTGCATTAGATTTGCAAAAAGTAAATATTATCCAACTTCATTGTATCATGAACACAGAAAATAATCCTTCAAGCGACATGTAAATAGAAAATCAACCTCAAGCCCTATAATAAAAGCAATATTTAATATAGTGCTGTGAAAAAATGTTTGCCCCCTTCCTTATATATTTTTTTTCTGCATATTTGTCACATTTAAATGATTCAGATCATCAAACAAATTTTAATATTACACAAAGATAACCTGAGTAAATACAAAATTCCGTTTTCAAATGATTTCATTTATTAACCACTTGCCTCCCGGGCACTTATACCCCCTTCTTTACCAGGCCAATTTTCAGCTTTCAGCTCTGTTGCACTTTGAATGACAATTGCGTGGTCATGCAACATTGTATCCATATGAAATTTTTATCATTTGTTTCTCACAAATAGAGCTTTCTTTTGGTGATATTTAATCACTGCTGGGCACTTTACTTTTTGCGCTATAAACAAAAAAAGTGCAAAAAATTTGAAAAAAACAAAAAAAAGTTTCTATGTTTCTATTATAAAATTTTTCAAACAGGTAATTTTTCTCCTTCACTGATGTGCGTTGATGAGGCAGCACTGATGGGCACTAATAGGCGGCACTGATATGCAGCACTGATGGGCACTGATAGGCAGCACTGATAGGCGGCACTGATAGGCGGCACTAATGAGGTGTCACGGATAGGTGGCACTGATAGGTGGCACTGATAGACAGCACTGATAGGTGGCACTGCTGGGCATTGACTGGCACAACCGCTGGGCACTGACTGGCAGCACTGCTGGGCTGCACTGATGGACACTGGTGGGTGGCACTGGTGGGCACAGGTGTGTGGCACTGCTGGGCACAGGTGTGTGGCACTTCTGGGCACAGGTGTGTGGCACTTCTGGGTGGCCCAGGTGGGTGCACTGCTGGACACAGGAGAGTGCACTGCTGGGCACAGGTGGGGCGCACTGCTGGGCACAGGTGGGTGCACTGCTGGGCACAGGTGGGCGCACTGCTGGGCACAGGTGGGAGGAACTGGTGGGGGCACTGCTGGGCACCGATCATCAGGGAACTGATCATCAGTGCCGATCCCTGCTCTGACAACTGCCGGTTCTCAGCAGTACTTTCCTCACGCTCTGACAGCGTGAGGAAAGTGCAGCCGAGAACTGGCAATTGCATTTCCCGGTGATCAGCGTGTCACTTGCATTTCCCGGTGATCACGTGGTAAAAGGCCGCTTTGATTGGCCTTTTACCACATCACGTGATCAGCTGTGTCCGTAGGACAAAGCGATCACGGAGATCGCCGGGTGCGTGCCCCCGGGGGTGCGCAGGAGAGCGCATTCTGGGAGGACATCATATGATGCCCTCCCAGAACTGGCTGGCTGCAGTGTAGCCGTCATTCAGCTATCTGCGGTTGGCAACTGGTTAAGGGAAAAAAGCTGTCCAGACCTGCCTGACCCTGTGGTGAAAAAGTAATTCACACCCCCTACAAAATCATGTATGAACTGAGATTAACTATATTTTTTTGGAAAAGAAATTACTTAAATAGAAGCTGCCTGACAAAGAAAAGCACACTAAAAGATTTCAAAAAGCAACACATCATGTTGTGATCGAAAGAAATTCAAGAACAGATGAGAAAAATGTAATTGACATGTACTGGTCTGGAAAGGGTTACAAAACCATTTCTAGGGTTTTGGGACTTCAGCAAACCATGGTGAGAGCCATTATCCACAAATGGAGAAAACTTGGAACAGTGGTGAATCTTACCAGGAGTGGCCAGCCTACAAAAATTACCGTATTTTTCGCTCCATAAGACGCACTTTTTTCCCCCCAAAAAAGGGGGGGAAATGTCAGTGCGTCTTATGGAGCGAATATGGAGCGGCCGGTCCGGTATTTCCACTGCCGCCGTGTCAGAATACCGGGCCGGCCGCTCAGCTCTACAGCGGGACCTTATAGAGATGACTGCTGACCTTTGGGGAGGGAGGGGGAGCGGGTACCTGAATTTGACAGGTACCCGCTCCCGGGTACCTGAATTTGACAGGTACCCGCTCCCACTTCCGTGGAGTTGTTCTTTCATCTTACCCGTTCCTCTATCCAGCGGCGCGGTCTTCCCGGCTTCTGTAGTGTGGGCATGACAGCCGGGTGCCAAGTGCGCATGCGCAGGAAGCGGTGCTTTTTGTGAATGGTAAGGCGGCACCTGGGACACATGACAGATCCCAGAAGCCGCCGGACCAATCACCAAGCGCAAGTGCTTCTCGCTCATGCGCACTGGGCACCCGGCTGTCATGCCGAGCGCCATTACAGAAGCCGGGAAGACAGCGCGCGGCTGGATAGAGGAACAGGTAAGATGAAAGAACAACTCCGCGGAAGTGGGAGCGGGTACCTGTCAAATTCAGGTACCCGCTCCCCCCCTCCCCAAAGGTCAGCAGTCATCCCTGTGCTGTCCGCAGTCTCTGGTCATCCCTGTGCTGTCCGCAATCTCTGGTCATCCCTGTGCTCTCCGCAGTCTCTGGTCATCCCTGTACTGTGTCCGCAGTCTCTGGTCATCCCTGTACTGTGTCCGCAGTCTCTGGTCATCTCCTGTACTGTGTCCGCAGTCTCTGGTCATCTCCTGTACTGTGTCCGCAGTCTCTGGTCATCTCCTGTACTGTGTCTGCAGTCTCTGGTCATCTCCTGTACTGTGTCCGCAGTCTCTGGTCATCTCCTGTACTGTGTCTGCAGTCTCTGGTCATCTTCTGTACTGTGTCCGCAGTCTCTGGTCATCCCCTGTACTGTGTCTGCAGTCTCTGGTCATCTCCTGTACTGTGTCCGCAGACTCTGGTCATCTCCTGTACTGTGTCTGCAGTCTCTGATCATCTCCTGTACTGTGTCTGCAGTCTCTGGTCATCTCCTGTACTGTGTCTGCAGTCTCTGGTTATCTCCTGTACTGTGTCTGCAGTCTCTGGTCATCTCCGGTACTATGTCTGCAGTCCATTAGTTCAGAATTTTTTTTTTTCCTGTTTTCTGCCTCTAAAACCTAGGTGCGTCTTATGGTCAGGTGCGTCTTATGGAGCGAAAAATACGGTACTCTAAGAGCACAACAACAACAACTCATCCAAAAGGTCATAAAAGAACCCAGAAAATGCCTAAAGAACTACAGGCCTTACTTGCCTCAGTTAAGGTCAATGTTCATGATTCAACAATAAGAAATAGACTGGGAAAAATGGCATCCATGGGAGAGTTCCAAGCTAAAAGCCACTGCTGACCAAAAAAGAACACAAAGGCTCATCTCACATTTGCCAAAAAACATCTTGATTATCCCCAAGACTTCTGGGCTAATATTCTGTGAACCGATAAGACAAAAGTTGAACTTCTTGGAAGGTGTTATGTCCCGTTACATCTGGTGTAAAACTAACAGCATTTCATAAAAATAACATCATAACAAACAATCATATCTAGTGGTGGTGGTGGTAGTGTGATGGTCTGGGGCTGCTCTGCAGCTTCAGCACCTGGACAATATGCCTTAATTGATGGAACCATGAATTATGCACTCTACCAGAAAATCCTGAAGGAGAATGTTTGGCCATCGGTTTGTAACCTCAAGCTCAAGGACACTTTGGTTATGCAGCAGGTGGTTTAGGGGGAAATTACTTTTTTAGGCAGATTAGGACAGTTTTTTCCCTAATAAATGAAATAATCATTTAAAAACTGCATTTTGTATTTACTTGAGTTATATTTGTGTAATATTAAATTTGTTTTATGATCTGGATCATTTAAGTGTGACAAATATGAAAAAAATCAGAAGGGGGCAAATATGTTTTCACAGCACTGTAACTTAATTTGTAAAGACAAGGATTTTTTTTAAACTCTGGAAATTATTATGTGCAATCACAAGCACAAGAAAGACTTACGTACTGTTATCTGCCCATATACAGTATGACCAATATTGCCTTTATTAGCAGGGGCCAGATTTGTAATGCAACATATCCTACAGTGTGAAAGCATTGCTTCAACGTATCAAGAAATGCTAAAAACAGCTTAGATCTGTAGATATGATTTAAAGTAAATCTAAACCTGATCACTAAAATATAAATGGACTTTATTTATAGTAGGTCATTTCAAAAGTTGTTTTCAACCTTTTTTAAAAAGCCATTAAAAAAAAGAATATGTGGTAATCCTGCCATGAAGGTCCTCATTCTACCTTCCTGTTAAGGGTTCAAAACTGGCTCTCAAAAGTGCTTTTGCATTGTTACTCCATTAAATGCACATGGAAACCACAAGAGGCTGCACTGATGTTGCACTTTCATGTTCTATCATAGACCTGGTCCAATACAGGAAAAGTGCTTGTGGATAGTTAGTGGCTGGAAAGGCCCGGAGGAGATCAGCAGCAAAGAGATGCAAAAAAGGACAGAAAAATGTGAATTTTTTTTTATTTTATTAAAAAACAGAAAAAAACCATGTCAGGAAAATAATTTTCAAACTAATGCTCATGCCCAGCTCATGCTCAAAGGAATGCGCATGCCATTATTATTATTAATGTTATTATTGTTATACAGGACTTATATAGCACCAACAGTTTGTGCAGCTCTTTACAATATAAAAGGAGACAGTATAGCTACAATACAATCAAAACAAGAGGATTAAGTGGGCCCTACTCATAAGCCCTTACAGACTAATAGGGTGGGGCAAGTGGTACAAAAGGTTATAACTGTGTGTGGTGAGCTGATGGAAGTGATAAATGTCTATTTAGAGGCTTGATAGGCTTCCCTGAAGAGACAAGTTTTCAGGGATCGCCTAAAGGCAGCCAGAGTAGGGTATAGCCAGACAGATTAAGGTAGAGAGTTCAAGAGGATGGGAGAGGATCTGGCAAAGTCCTGGAGATGCGCATGGGTGGAGGAGACAAGGGAGCTAGAGAGCACGAGATCATGAGAGGAGCGGAGAGGATAGTTTGGGTGATACTTGGAGACAAGATTGGTTATGTAGCTCGGGGAAGAGTTGTGGATGGCTTTGTATGTGGTTGTTAGTATTTTGAATTAATTCGCTGGGCAGTCGTAAGCCAGTGGAGGGTTGGCAGAAAGGGGGTGGCAGACACTGAGCGGTTAGTAAGGTAGATAATCCTGGCAGCAGCATTCATGATAAACTGGAGAGGGGATAGCCTATGGAGAGGTAGGTCTATGAGAAGGGAGTTGCAACAGTTATGCGGAGAGGTAACAAGGGAGTGAACAAGTATCTTGGTGGCGTTATTGGTTAAAAAAAGGGCCACATTTTAGATGAGATGTTATGGAAGTCTACAAGCTTTTGACAGCGACTGGATTTGGGGCCAAAGGTATAGGTCAGAGTCTAGGATTACACCTAGTACCCTGGCTTGAGTGGGGGGATTGATAGTTGTATTATTGATCTTGATGTAAAAGTTATGTAGGAGTGCACGAGGGGGAGGGAATAATATCAGCTCTGTTTTAGGTAGATTTAGTTTAAGGAAGTGGTGCGAAATCCATGCTGATGTGTCAGTTAGTGAGTTAGTAATGCGAGAGGAGACTGAAGGAGTGAGATGAGGAGTAGAGATATAGATTTGAGCGTCATCGGCATAGAGGTGGTATTTGAAGCCAGGGAAGGTTATCAGGTAACCAAGAGAGGAGGTGTTGAAGGAGAAGAGAAGGAGTCCAAGTACAGAACCTTGGAGGACCCCTACAGAAAGAGGAAATGGAGAGGAGGAGACATAGTTTTAGGTAACAGTGAAGGAGCGCTGTGACAGGTAGGGGGAGAAACAGAATAGAGATCAATCCTGGAGACCAAGGCAATGGAGTTTATTGAGAAGGATCAGGTGGTCAACAGTATCAAAGGCTGCAGAGAGATGTAGTAGTAAAAGTATGGAGTAGTGACCATTGGTTTTAGCAGTTAGTAAATGGTTATTGATCCATAGAACTATGCATAGAATTAGGGCCCAGCACTCATCTACACACATAAGCAGTAGCATGCTGTGTGTGCTCATATGTGTAAGTGTGCATGTTGGACTTTAGCGCCCAGTGACCTATTAAAAGTCCTACAGGACTCTGGATCATTGTGGTCGTCAGCTCCTTCTGCCTGTGATCTGATCTTGTATACATCTGTATCCAGACCCGGCTTATTGACTCTACTTGTTCCTGAACCTCTGTTCTGACTCTGACTTGTGACCCTGACCTTGCATTCTGCTTGCTGTTCTGGAACCTCCTCCTTCTGTTTGATACTGACCTTGGCCTGGCTTAGACTCTGCTCCTGGATCCTGATCTTTCCTGATAAAGATCCTCTTACTGGTGTGTTAGTAGTGTGATTTGTGCCTACAGTGCTTACTTAAGCTCTTCAAACTCATGAAGTTACCACCATACATTAGCATCCAAAATAATTTGTTAGATTGTGGAATAACAGGCTATGTTCTGGTGTAAGTGATGTACTGCATTTGCACCGCACCTAACAACACTCCAAATGCTTTTGACAAAATTTTCTTACTACTACAACAATGAATTCTGATCAGCAAAGATCATAAATAAAACCATGAAAATCTTAAACTCCATTACTGAACCCACAAGCACTCTCACATTAGAGATTACAACAGAGTCTGGTCAAATGACAGTGATTAATTTCTCTAAGCAGACGGGGTGAATATTGCGTGAGTACTTTGAAACCACAATCCATCTTCGCAATTTGGAAAGCTGAATAGATCACAGTGACCATTATCTGGTATAAAAAGTAATACCAGTTTATTTGTTTTACACTTAAGTAATGCAATTGCCACTCAAAAGCAAAATAAAATGAGTTAAAATACATATTACAGGCTAAAGTGGATGTTTATGATAACAGACACTCTCTTATTTATCTCAGGGCAGCAGCTTCTCTATTTTGTTGTATAATTCATCGTAAAGCTATTCCAAGGCATGAGATCATATATCTATCCTAGAGTGATGCCAGGGACAGCAGTAGCAGCAGCTGCAGGACGGGCTTCTCAAGGCTGCCCTATACCTGACCTCATCTGTGACCCAGAAACATCCTTTTTAGCAGTAAGACATAATACATTCCCTAGGCTGCTTTTCTCTAGGGAATGACCTGCCAAAGAAAGAAAAATTATGTGCAATGGTTCATTTTCTCCTTCCAGAAAAAAAAAACAAAGCCTCTACACTTTTTTTCCTTTCTGAGCACAAATAGTAATGAAATAACATATAAACCACTATCAAGTATTAATAACTGCACTTCATTCAAATATGTTAACAAATAAAAAACAATTTTACATTTGCCTTTTTTTTTATCAGTGTGCTTTGCTGTACATCGGATCTATTTCTACATACAAAAACAGGAGACAAA